TTTCCCATCCGTCGTGAATTATGGGACATCCTGTATGCTTTATGACACACTGTCATTTGCGTTTACGCTCACGCGTAACAGTACACAGCAAACATCAATTTCCATTTGTACAAAAAAGCCCGCTGTACACAACTAAATTTTACAGCTGGTTTCAGGTAACAGCTTTGTCCTTTTTTTGTTATTTTTCATTTGTTAATTAGCTCCAGCACACAGAGTTCCTAAATTTACTTTCACAAAAACCAATCCTTAAATCCGTCGGCACAAAAGCGGACTTAATTTCCAAGAATCCTGCAACAAGATCAAAAGTCAAATCATCCATCTCTTTCGCATCCTTCAGCAAATCCGCCACGTCGACGTCTCCATCTCAAAGTCACTTTTTCAGTAATACCAACCTCCGGAATAATCCGAACCACAAACTGCAAGTTCATCCACCATCAAAAAACGATATAACCGAGCCGTTTCCTGCGTCATATCCTCCGAACCGCAAAGCAGGTGCGGTTTACGTAAGGTCTTAAAGAAAATCACCGGTGACAGATGTAGATGACCCCTGCCGCCCCCACTGCCCCCTCTCGTCGTCAATATGCAGACGAGCTCTGATTCGGCTGCATCCTCTGGCTAATCGTCGCCTCAAATAATTTAAAGGAAGCCACGTAGGACGCGAGGATTTATTAAAAGCTCGCGTATGTGCGGCTTTAGGTGACTTTGTGCCGGCCAGGGCTGGCTTTGAGAGAATGCAAGTAAGACGGTGTTGCCAGATCGAGAGATTATTCTGATATATCGACCGTTACTTCTCGAACTAAAGCTAACGAAGTCTTGTATAGGGTCATCCTAAAGAATTTTCTTTGAATGCAGTGACGCGTCATGTGCATATAATTTATTTTATTCTTTTGTCGTAATTTCCATTTGTGGTGAGCGCTTGACTGATACGTGTTGCAATCTGATCGGTGTTGCTATGTGGCTATTCAATAAACGGAAGGTCAAGTTGAAATTTGACCCTAAACAGAAATTAATTTAATCAATGACAATATTACTACATTTCAGTTATAGGACAATTTAAAACGCAGTGAATTAATCTAGACCACCAAGTAACAACTAATCAAAAATAAAAAAGTTAAAATACTTATATTAATTTACATAAAGTTAAGCTTTTTTTCCTAAATTAACTTTTGTTGTGTTGGAATATGATGTTGCTGAGCATATATTTTTAAATATGGCCAAATATTTAAAAGAAAAATTAGACTTTGAAGGCCTATGTCTTCTAGATTTGGGTCCAAGAATTTTTAAAATTATTATTTTTTTGTTCAATAATCAAACCTTTACGACGTGCCATAGAGTTAGTGCACCATTTTTGAATCACCCTGTATTGTATAACGTTCGTAATAGACTTCGGAATGACATCATATTGTTTAATTTTAAATTTAGGCTATGAGTAAAGGAAACGGTAAATCGTGCTTTGAATTAATTAAAATAGATAAATAATTAAAATCAAATCAGCATTATAACAAAGAACAACTTTTATTACAACAGATGCACAAAGAACTCGCCGCAATAATGAAAACGTTGAGTAAATCATTTTCTGTGCTAGGACGCAGAACGTAGAAGAATTTAAAATAATATTTTGTTTCATATGAATCAAATTGTGTAGTTCTAAAAAAAAAAATTAATAAATACCCAGAAATTATTTTTGATGTACTTTTTACAAGGTATTATGAAGAAAATCTTTGTCACATTAAACGTGTTGAAAAACAATTCACTTTATTCGTTAGTTCTGCTGAGGCAAGCAGCTTTTTTGATTAAAAAATAATTAGTTCTATTACCGGGTCGAAACAGTTTTTTGTTAACAGTCGAATTAATTGAATATAAAACCACCTAGTCTATGATTCCGTGAATGCAACTGACAGTTCATGCGAAATAAATTCGATAATCTAAAACGATTTCATAGAAACGTTCAAACAGGTCAGTGAGAAAAAACACATCATGGTTTTCAAAGAATTTCATCTAGCGTTTCTTGTGGAGCGAGGGGAAGCTCACTTTATGTTCGGCCTAAATTACTCAGAAGCCTGAAGCCGGTCCTGTCCTGATCTCTCTTTTTTTCCCTCACTCCACTCGGGGTTTTCCTTTTAATATTAATACGTCGCAGACGTTCGTTCTGCATGCCGAATACCATGAATTTTTCGTTGCGGTTATGGTGTTCAAGGACGTCGGGGGTGCCAACTTGACGTCCGTTAAATTGATCATGATTGTGAGGGTTTTTTTGCCTTTTCTTGTTTTCGTTTAAAATTTTCTTATCTCCGAGTTCGTGTCCACTGGCCGAGCATCATTAATTATTTCTCGGTGTTTCAGGGTCGGTGATGCCTGAAAAATCCATAATAACGATGGATAGAACACAAAGCGACATTCTTTAATCATTAATTATGACGTAGTAACGGAATGGTGTAAATGGGAGTTTTATGGCGATAATGGTATCGATTTTCGCGAGGTTAATGATAGGCAGCAGAAAATTTAATGGGTGTTTTGCTGACAAGTGGGACGATTTGGGTTTATAATGGCGGTTGAGGTGGGTAATGAGGTGGTAGTTAGGGGAGAGGAGGGAGGTGCTAATTTTTCAATTGGTTCACAGTATGGTCATGGTTGCATTTTTGAATCTTAAAATTTTACGTGATCATACAGCTTTCTGACCCAATCAGTTTAAAATGATTTGTTTTAAATGTGCACTTTCGTTTTAAGATTATTTTATATAACTGCTCTTTACGAGCCGTTTAGTACCACTTTGATGACGATTTTTATGGGTTCTTTTGGAGAGAAGCACCGCCTAACAAGGAAATGAACAACTTGAGGGTGTATTCTTGGGGCTGCACCTCTTTGAACTTTTTTAAGGCGGTGCTCGTTTGTGAAGCCATAAAAAATGGGTTCCATATGGAACCAGGATGTATAACGGAAGAAGGCGGTTTAGTGCTAATGTAATTTGTCTTTTTCTATTAGTGTAACGAAATATCGTACAGCATACACGAAAACTAATTTTAAGGAAGATTAGAAGATATTAAATTAGGAAATTAAATGAGTCTCCCGGGGCCTCTTCTATTAATAGGTCAGAGAGAACTAGATTGTAAACAACTAGACCCGATGATAAGTGTGAAGCAATTTGCACATACAAATAGAGATAGATAGAAAGGGAAAAACCGATAACGAAAGTAAAAAAAAACACTGGAAATATCATTGCGCATGTGAACGTCGGTCACATTTATGTTATATTTAAAAGGTGACTAAAATTTTTAACTAGGATTTATAATCAAAATCCGATTTCTTCTGTCATTTTCTTAAAAAAAAAAAACACAAGTAACAGAATGGTTATTTTATAAAATTTAAATAGCATTTACTAGGCAAAAATTTGAGATAACGTAATCAAATTGTTGGGGGTATTGATCAGACAAATTCTGGTTAACGTTTTATCATCTACACCACTCGTAAAATACCGAAAATTTCACAATAATCTGTCTAATAAAATTACCAACAGGCGACAGACGGACGGAAACGGGAGACCTACTTTTTCATACTCTTGGGGTTATGAAACATTGAGAAACTTGCCACACGTGAAACTTAAAATTTACGCCAAATCAAAGAATTACGAGTATAATATAAATATGCTCCGAGGTACACTATTGTTTGTGGCTTCGTAATATATTATGTAGTTTTATTTAGATGCGGTATTTTAAAAACGTGTGAAACGATTTATATTTTTCTTTAAAATCAATAACACCCCTAAGATATAACAAAGGTTTATTCTTGAAGAAGGAAAAAATAAGGATTATGTTTCTCATTAAATTTATACAATTACCAGTGTATTTGTTGGAGCAAAAAATTGGGCCAACTTATTGTCTATTAATTATGTATTAAACATTAGATATTGATAATACCATTAGTCAAATATTTAAGAACATACGTAGACTTTTATTACAAATTTCTTTTAAGTGGTTTGTGTTATTATGATCAAAATGTATCCTATATAGTGCAAGTTTGAGGTTAGTTTCGATTTTTTTCATGAGGCCGATTGCAAAAATATAAGTTACAAGTAGATGATGATAAAACACTTATCGATTCTATTGTTATCGTAACCACTATAAATAAAGTCAATGAGGTAATTCGGAAAAACATATGCAGAAAAATGCATACTTCGAGTAGCTTGAAAATCATTTAAAAAAAATGCAAATTATAAACTTCTTGGAAATTTGAAAATTTTAGACCTAGAATAAGTAAAAATGATTTACTTTTGTCATGAAAATTTAGTTTAGCAAGTATTTCAATGGCAAGACCAACAGTTTAATTATATATATTATGAGTACACCATTGAAAATTTAATAATATCACTGAAGCAGTGAGATCATAGGACAATACTACAATGAAAACGTGCCAGGTGTTGATAAATGAAATTCCTTCAGAAGTATTTATTTATAAATCGTTACTCATTTGTCTACATTGCATTAGATCAACGCAAATCATCGGTCACTGATATAAAAAAAACACACTTTTTATTGCTAACTTTTTTGTTAATAAAGTAACCCCAAAAAAGAGATCAGTCACCGTTAATCAAAACAAGAAAAAGTGTGTTTTAAACGTTTTAATTTTTAATTAGGGAATGTACAACAAATGTTGTTGAATTATTCCACGAATCGCTAATTACATTTTTAATACCTGTGGTCACGTAAGTACAATTTACATTTGACGTACACATTAAAAAAATATTACCGATTACGCTTTATTAAACGCAAAATATTTATGTCAATTTCTTATGTAATAAAATTCAGCGTAAACAAACACCTAATTACGGCTACGCTTCAAAGTATAAATAAACAAACCTTCATATTTAATTTTTTCACTGTGTATGTAATTTAAACTTCGTTAATGGCTGTTCAACGTCACTGCTTGCGGTTTTCCTCGAAAACCCGAGACCACAGCATCCAACATTATCGCATTGTTTATTAATTTTCTTTTTTCGTTTTTAGCGCCACCGTTCACATCACAGTCTCCGATGTGAACGAATACGCGCCGACTTTCTCCGAACCGAGTTACGTCAGGCAAGTGGACGAAGGGAGGATCTATAGCGAGATCGTGCGGGTGGAAGCGACAGATCGGGACTGCACGCCAAAGTTCGGCGATGTGTGCAAGTACGAGATACTCACATCTGACCAGCCGTTCGTCATCGACATGGACGGAGTCATACGTAATACGGAGGCACTGGACTACGAACGCTCACACAATCACATACTCAGCGTCGTGGCATACGATTGTGGTAGGTATCACTGAACAATAAATAAAAGAAAAATAAATTTAAAAAAAAGTTACAAAGTAACGAAACATGGAATATTAAAAAACAGACGAAGATTATGGATTGTCTTTATTAATTATATTTATGTTTTGTGGGGGCTTGTACCTGCTTCTGATACCGTGTCATTTAGGGTCTGTTTTCATAGTTCTTACCATCGTTAGCTTCACGAGGCAATAAAATTTTAGTGGATACAAAAATAACGTTCCTGGAGCACGTAATAAAATCAGAAACCATAATATTTAAACAAAAATTTTTGAAATTTGATGCTGTGTAAACCTATGTTCATTAACATGGTACACTGTGGAAGAATTAATGCTGTAATGCTTTATATGACGCCAAAAGATGATTTCGAGCAATAACTTCGGGCTGTCGCTTCAGCGTGTGATATTTCCGTGACTGGACTCGTATAACGACATAAATTCTGTCCTATAACTGCATAATTATGGTACATCAGCTAACGGAATATGATCCACACAGGCGATTAAAGCTGTGTGAACTAACTGATAATACAACGGATAACAGCAGTTCCTAGTTGTGTCTGACGCTTACTAAGGGAAAGACAGACTCAGTTTCCTGAAAAATTCAAGCAGAAATTCTCTGGAAGCATGTAATTGAACCATCACTTATTAAAGAGAGAATTTAACTGATCCACTGTATTTAGAGCTCCTTGAAACTGGAATCGATACGTTAATTACTAAATACTGAGATCGGGGAACTATACGAAGGTGAATTTTGCCAGCCCGTATTTTCTCGACAAGACAGGATACCGCCGCATAATTTTCGAGTGAAGGAACGTCGCTAGATGAGATAAATGGGATCGGTGGTCAATTAATAGTGCAAACTTGCGGCCAGGCGACCCTTGAATTGTTACGTAATGCACAAATTTGAAAACCTTTACTGTTGCAAAGAAGTGAACACTGAACTTTTAATAATTTCATAAATTTTGTTTATGATTTTAAAATTTTAAAAACTTGTTCTCTATCGTTGTTGCTTCAATGATACGAAAATTAATGAAGCTGTAGTAAACTTGTGAATCACAACGAGGTGGCAATTTTTTATAACCACGTCCGTAATTAATTAATTTTGATGTCGAGAACATTGCTGTATTATCAACTTATAAAAACATTACCTCATATTACTGTTATAATTTAAACTATTACTTAACCGATGTTCTCTTCTAACTACGACGTTGATACATGCAAATGTTTTCAACAGTACGTTAGTCAGCATCTAGTTGGGCGTGTTATTTAAAGAAAGTAATGACTGGATTTCAGAACTGCATGTATGCGTCAAATATGTGTGGGAATAGTTTATTGAATTCAATTTATTGTAAAAACGCTTTCCAAATTTACTGCTAAATATATGCTTTTCAATATTTTTTTGTCATCGAACTTTTATACCGGTTTTTACGTTGGAAAATTTTGTTCTATGTCAGCGGATGCATACATCCGCTTTTAAATCAACTTCAACATGTTCAAAGTTTTCACTCTGATCATTTTTTGCAACAATTTGAAGCCACGGTTTTCTATTTAAAATGCCAAAAAAGTGTCACTTTTTTATTGAAACCTTCAGACTGCTTTAATTTTATCCATCAATCAATAGTTTATTGTCGTAATTCGTTTCACAAAGTAAAGTTTATCATGTGATTAGTTTTAAAATGGCCATTTTACAATTGTGGTGCTATTCTCTTCCGACTTTTGTAATGGAATTCTTACTGGAGATTTTAAAAATGTTTAAAAGTTATAGTAGTAGTAAATAGTAATAATAATAGTAGTATTAGTCAAAATATGCAAATACATACGCTGAAGTATGCATTTAGTTGTCATCGATTATTATAATTGATGTGTGCAAATTAATAAATAAAGTCCAACTTTGGTAAAAACAAAAAATATGCGCTTCACCTTTAGGTGAAGCCTGTGAAGTTTTATCGTTCATATGTGGTTAAAATATTAACTAATAATAACGGTTATCAATACTCGGTATTAATTTCCGATACTATAATAATAATAAAACGCTACAGTATTTTGCTTTTTAACAGTAATACTGATAAAATAGAAATGTATTAAAGAGATCAGCTTTAATTACTGATACTGACATTTAACACACCATACATGTGGAATTATACGATTTCAAAGCATGGATTTTTGCATTGGAACTACAATGTGATTATAAAAGATTAACATCAAGTTGACTTTGCCATTCGTGAATTTTGCCACCTCGTTGTGATGATTACGGATGTCAATCATAACTAAAGTGACCAGACGTCCCGTTTTGAACGGGACTGTCCCTTTATTGGACCACCTGTTTCGTTGTCCCCATATAATGATCTGGAACGCAAAATTGTCCCGTTTTCTAAAACCGCGCATCACCATCAATATTAAAGCAAATTTGTGAAGCTGGTGATTGCTTCTTATTTTTCATAACTACTTATAATACTAAAAATATTTTTAATTTTTGTGAACATAAAATAAAGAAAGAAGATTAAAAAGTTCTGTTTATTTTTATTGTTAACCTTCCCACTGGGGTATGTTATGTTATGTATGTATGGTATATCTATATTCTATATTAGATTTATTTTATTAGTAGTATGTATGGACGTCCCGTTTTGACTTAAAAAAAAAAGATCAGTTTAATCATAACCTAACTTTCTTAAATGACGGATTGTGTTTGGAGCAAAATGAGGCCACTTTGAACATTTGTTAGAGACACATGACTGATAGAATGCGACCAAAACTTGTGACGCCCCTCAATATGTATTTTATGTTATTTTTAAATTGTAATAAATTGGGTGACAAATTAGCAGATTTTAACACATATTTTTTTACATACTACGAATGCTCCAGAAGATGGAAACTCATGATATATTAAAAAAATATATAGATTTTCGTGTTGGTTGTATCCTACCCACATGTTGAGATTTTTTATTGTATAATTTATTTTAAAATAACATCGATGGCGTCATAATTTCGATTTCACCTGTGTTCTGAAAAGGTATCCAGATTTTATTAAATTTTAGGCTTATACATAGTTCACGAACTAATCCGTCCAAAACAACCAGATTTTAGACCCCACTGTATCGAAATGTCATGTTTAATTTAATACATATTAAGTGTTCTAATATTATAATTTTTTTCACAGGAATGCGCCAGAGCTTACCAGTTATGGTCACGATTAAAGTGAACCGTGTATGCAGACTGGGATGGCGAGGATTGCCGGAGAGAGTCGATTACGCTCCCACCACTGGAAAGCAAGAGTTGTTCCCGTCGGCAAGTCTGGAATTATGTGACGTTCCCTGTAACGTCAGAGAATTAAGGACCAGGGTTGATTTGGCAACCAGGTACTTTAATTGAGGATTTTCATAAACAACAGTACTCATTTTTGTGTTTTAATGTAGACACATTGGCAAGGGATGTGACCGTGACACATACAGCGTCCAGTCGCAGCGTAAACTCTGCGGGGCTTCCCCTTCGGCCATCGATCTCCTTCCAAGTCCCGGAGTGGGGGCCGAGTGGACCAAACCGCTCATCTCAGATGAGGGTCACGAATCGGATCAAATGTTTGAATTTGACGGTTCTAGCACTGCCGTTTCAATCCCTAATTCAGTTCTTGACCATAATTTACCGTCTACTTTTACGATAGCGACGTGGATGAGACATGGACAGCACAACGGGCAAGATAAACGCGTCAAAGAACACATTCTGTGCTCCGCTGATGATCATAGTAAGTGATCGAAATATGCTCCGCCACTGGAATTAGTGTCAGTTGTGACAACTTTGACGTAAATTCCAGTGGCGTACGACTTTCTTGCTTAAACAACAAAAATGTATTTTTAGAGATGAATCGTCACCACTACGCCCTCTTTGTACGTAACTGCCGCCTTATCTTGCTGCTTCGTCGCGACTTCTCCGAAGGCGATCTCAATATCTTCAGACCGGCTGAATGGCGTTGGAAAATCCCGCAAGTTTGCGACGACCAATGGCATCACTACGCTGTTAATGTGAGGTTCCCCGATATTGAATTGTTTGTTGACGGACAGGTGTTCCGCACGGAGAAGAAAAACCCAGAGGTGATCGACGATTGGCCGCTGCATCCTACCAAGGGCATCAACACGACATTGACAGTCGGAGCTTGCTGGCAAGGCTCCGATAATAAAATGAAGCATCATTTGAAAGGGTATTTGGCTGGTTTGAGTGTTTTGGTGGGAGAAACGGAGAAACCTGAAGTTTTGAGTTGTTTGCATCAATGCAAGGAGAGTCTACAGGTAAGAATGTTCGTATGAAAGTGAACTTAAAGAATTATTTTGTGTGTGTTGTCAAGGTGCCTGCAATGGAGCTGCTGCAACCAGGAATGGAATTGTTGACCAATTCCGATTTGACAGAAGTGACAGTTGAAGGCGACAATCGTACCAACTTGGAAACTTTGGTTAGGAAGATCGGGTACGCGAACAGTCGAGAGTTTCCGACCCCCGGTCGCAGGAACTTGCGATTGACAACGACAGTGACTTGCGATAGTGGCAAGACTGTCAAAGTACCAGACGCTCAAACTTACGTGATGGTACTAAGACCCCAAACGCCCTCTATCAATTTAAACGGAACGGGAAACATGGCGCGAAAATATGAAGATTTCAGAATGGGCGTGAGGGTCCTCGCTGATATTCACATTTCCGGCGAACAAAAATTAGACAAGTGTTCGTTGACCATCTACCCTAACCTCAATCCAGACCACGAGAATCTAAGCGTCCCTGAAGAGATGTTGAAGAGGTTGGGAATGGCGGCTCGCGTCTCTAAAGATGGCGTTACAATCACCGGGTCAGACATGGTATTCAATTATCAACAAGTTCTTAGACAAATAGTTTACACTAATAGAAAACCAGCCTACTATCTAAATCGTGTGTTCAAACTTACCTGTTCCGAATTGAACGGACGTTTCACTTCTAACGAATATGTACAAACTGTAAGTTGGATTTTTTTCGTTTTGAAACAAATCACTGACGTTTTTGTTTGTTGTAGCTTACTGTGATCCATCCTCAACCTAAAGAGCCAATCGTTGCTCATGCTACTATCAATAAACATAATGTTGAATTGAGGCCAGCTTCTGTCGTATCACGTGATTACATTCCATCGGAACACTTAAATCTAGTAGCCAGTGGTGGTTCACACGCCGTCACCATCATTGTGGTGGTGTGTGTTGGATTTTTGTTGTTCATGATCGTTTTGGGTGTGATCAGGATTAGGGCGGCGCATCATAGAAATGCGTCGGAGGAGGCTCAAGACAGCGAGATGACGTGGGATGATTCTGCTTTGACAATCACCGTTAATCCTATGGAGGTAATTAAAAAAAACATTGGTATTAATAGCATTTGAGTTTGACATACACACTCAATAATGTAATATATGGACTTGTAGGTTTTTCACAAAAAAAGGTACGCCACTGGAATTAATGTCAAACTTGAATGACAGTTTCCGTGACTTATTGTTTGACTTGAGTACTTTTCATAAAAAAGTACCAACACTGAATCATTGTTGATTTAGATAGATTGAAGGTAAACAGAACGGCATAATCTGGTTGGAATTTAAGTAGTTTTAATTTTCATTAGAAGCCTCTGGACTATAGCTAGCCGTAAACAGCGAATTGTTGAAAGTGATTTTTTTGTGTTCTGAAAATTTTTAATTTGGTATATTTTTGTTTCATACGTAAATTTTGTGGTAACAGTGAGCCAGAATTACCCGTTAAATAATTCGCTTATATATATAGTCCTTTATTTGGTTTGATTAATCGCTTGTAGTTTTTGTTTCTAAAGAATTTAAAATTAGAATTACAGTAGTGGAGAACATAAAATAATAGTTCATTGCCCTTTTGGATGTCATTAACCGAGTTAGTAGTAAACTAGATAATGGTTTTCTTCCGAATTATCGAGCGTGGATAGAATTGCGACAAGTAAAGAAAAGTTCGGGAGTTAGTCCCAAATCGATTCGCTCAGGTTTTGTGGTCATTATAAAGAAGCGTCCGCATTTTATGAACTGTTTAAAAGTTTAAGCGACGCCAATAAAAGTACGAATGATGTGTGGAGTGCTTTAATTGTTTGATGGGAAAGTTGAGTGGCAAAACATTAATTAATTGCCACACTATTAAAAAAAGCTGATTGACAAGTATTAAGACTAAAGGTGCAGAGTCGCCGAACAGACGCAGTAATAAAAGTAAACTAGCTCAGCGTTCCTATTGGTTAGAAAATGGGTGTCTTGAAACCTGGGAAGATCAATAGGGCTTTAGCGCAGTGTGTTCATGCGAATTTCACGTGATCACTGCATTTGTTTGCCAATTTTAGCGTAGCTACTATTTATCTAGATGAAATATTTGAACTTAAATTAAATAATAGAAATGTTCGACGCGTGAAAAAATTAAACAAAACTATCCGTATATTCCTAAACATCGTCAATTTTACAAGGTTGTCACGTCTTAAACATTCGTTACTTCACTTAACTTCACTAAACCAAACATTGATCTATGTGCTACAAATATTTTGAATGGTACGAATTCTCCTACAGTGGTATTACTAGGAATAGCTGCTGTTCATGTTCCTGATTATCCATTAGTCAGTCTCATTTTTTTTTCTACCAAGACGTAGACGTCTGAATTCCTGCGTCTAAATTCCGCTCAGTTATGTGCGGAATAGGAATGCCTCTGAGTTCGATCGCGGGTCGCATTGGTTAGTTATGAACTCACGACTTCCTAACTCTGCCCTCTGGAAGCATTAGTTGTGGATACAGTTACAGGTAAATTATCAGTTTCCGAAATTCGCGAGAAAGTTTCTCCTCTAGTTATTGAATTATTCCTAAATTTACTGGATCATAAGTGCATTGTGAGTCTTGCATATTGTTTATTCAATTTTCTTTTGCCGAAAATTAGGAATTTTTATCTCACGGCTTACCTTCAAAAGGCGTCTGCAGAAATCGTAGAATTTTAACACTTCAGTACAAATTCGTTGTTTATGAGTAATTTCATGTGTCATAACCCAAAATTACCATAAAACTCCTTTGCTCCTTAATTTTCGTTTATCCATTGTGGCATTTGTAGCCGACACTCGCCAAACGAGTCGTACAAACAGACGTCTGGTCTGTAGTATTGAGTCATTAGATAAGGCCTAAATCTTAATTAAAGAGTAATTACTCTTGGAGAATCTGGAGAATTCCCCCTGGTAAAATGGTTTGTTAATTCGCCATAGCTAGTATCTGACATTCCAGTGGAAAATGTTTCGTCTCGGACAGTTAATTTATCTTCCACTTCGTTGAAGGTTTAGGCCTTCAGGGGTATCCCGTAGGATATAACTTTTCATTTCGTATTCACTCAAATGTTCATAGTCGTTTTCGACGAAATATTCTTTCAAAGAGAGCTTGATTTTTGTAATCCCGTGCTTGTTCTAAATTACGGATTAGGCAACTGTGGACGTCGCATTTACACGGACTGAAATTGCCGTTGATTTCAGTGTGAAGTTAACGAATTTTCTTATACAAAATACTTCGATAGTCAGACATCTGGGTTTCTTTGAAAATTCAATCTCGATTGTAATTGGATTTGTTCATGCTTGTGAACCGTGTTATACGCCACGGAAAAGTATAAGTCTATTTAATATGCCCCAAAACAAAGGTCTCTCTTTTGTAGAATACGCTTATTCCTCGATTAGAATTTACAATGCCGCTTTGTTACCCCAAGTAATTAATTTTGTATAAACCTCTTATCGCAATCGCTCGAACCTCAAAAAAAAGTACATCGTTTCTCAAATTCTACAGTTTGTTTTGCTCGAATTCGTTCCGGATTTTCTCAATGAAAGATTTGTATTGTTCTTGTTCGGAAATGGTTTTCAACGATTCAGGTCACACATGAGGCGTAACTACAATATTTCGGATTGTTTGTCTAGAGGGCTTTTTCTTTCTCAGTTTATCCCTCATCAAGGGTGGATTTGTGGCCCTTTGTTATTGTTACCACCCGAATGGCCGATGACTCTGGATCAGTGAAAGTGTAATTCTACTTTATTTGAAGGAAAACACACCACTTTGGAAAATGGATTCTCGTCCTTTGTCCACCTCAATTTATAGTTGTTTAATACGGCCGAAATTATGGTATTGTATAGTCTATATTCTGCCTTTTCTTCACGTCAGACGAGGACCTTGTCCTGTTCTCTGTTTCAATTATGGCACCAATTTGATCGTAGCAAAGCATTCCTGAATGCGTTGTACAAACTAATTCTCACGAGTTCACTCGGATCAGTTTCCACCGAATTATCCTTCAAAGGGACTGAGTGGAAACTGAACCCACTACATTTCCACATTTTGGAAACTTGTGGGAAGCCAATGTGAAATTTGTGAAGTCACTTCTCAAATTTGTTGGTCGTCATTTATTGTCGTATTGAGATATGAATACCCTTTTCATTCTGATTGAGTCGTCTCTGAATTTCCAACTGCTTAGTGTTTCTAAACTCAGAACTTGGTGCGTCTTTAACTGACATTTTTTGCACATTTTAACCCTTCTACATCAATTTCTTTTTAAGGATTATACTTCGTAAAATATTTCTCGCTTGACCGCTTACGATTACTGGACCGGATGATAAGATTATTGGAATTGATGGCAACTCGAATATTTAAACAACCTCCAAACTCGTGAAGAAAGAAGCACCGGGTCCAACCCCGTTAATAAGGTGTTTCTCGGTAGTGACGATGTTATTTTTACTCTCGATAACGGATGTACGTTTTCGTTATCTTCTTTTCATGTAAAAATTATTTATTTATTTAAGTTTTTGCACTGTTGTAAATGCGGTATCATTGTAATTCAAATGTTTTTGCTTTTTTTTTTTTTTTTTTGTTGCAACAAAAAGATTAATTAGGTTTGTTAAATACATACTTTGACCTTTTTGAGTGTTTATTTCAAATATTAGGTCTACAAAATTAAAATTTATTTTGTTAAAAGCTCTTCTATGACGCAGATGTACACACAGCCTGAAACATATAATTTTATAATTTCATACATACGGATTTAATTCCAAAGATGGCTCGATTACAAATTATGCTGCTCGCCCGATATAACGTCACTGCATACAAGGTGTTTCAGTTTACCTACTCCACTTTAAGTATCGCTTATTTAAAAAAAACGAGTTTGAAATTTATAAAGGTTAATTAAAAAATGAAGATGCTATTAGAGTTGGTGCGTTTAGAGATAAGCTCTAGCTAAAGAAATAAAGACAGGAACTAGTATACTTCTAACTTTGAAATTATTAAATTTAAAATAAAGATAATTATGTAGCAAATATAAGCAAAAACTTTAAAAATAGTCTATGAATAACCCGTCTATGTATTAAACTCACTGTTCTGCCATTGGTCGAATTCTATTTGTCAGGTGGTGGTGACCCAGATTCTACGACAACTGGTCGCAAACAATTGATCGCGCGACAATTGATCGCAAGCAACTCGTCGCAGCACAATTGGTCGCACGCGACAATTGATCGCGGTGACAATTGATCGCAGCGACAATTGGTCGCACGTAAATTGATCGCAGCGACAATAGATCGTACGTAAATTTATCGCAGCGTCAATTGATCGCAAGGTAAAATTCATCGGGAAGTATTTTCTTTTATTAAAACTAAATATTTTGTATTCTGAATTTTAAGTTGCAATAAATTTAGCAATCAGGTAAGGTGTAAATATCGAATTAAAAACAATTTGAATATAGATAAGTGACGAAGTTTGTAGTTGCACTTTAAAAATTAAAAAATACAAGCGTAAACACCTCGTTACATAAGATTTTTTATTAATAAATTGTCATTTTGGTTATTTTTTTAAGAGATTGTTTCTATTTATCTCGTTGCTTATTTTACCTATTATATTATAGGAACTAGCTTCATTATAATAAGTACTCAACATAAAAACAAGTGTTTATTGTTCTTAACTAGACTACAATTATTTAAAAAATCATATTTTTAACAACCTTTAAATTTTAACACATTTTGATATAGAATTGCCTCTATTGTCTATTCTTGTCTTTATACATATCACCAAACAATAAAATTTATGAACTAATAGTACATCTAGAGTATCCATATGCAGCGAATGTAAATTCCACTGGACGGATATAATACTTATTTTAATCCCTTGTAAATTGCAACGGATCTTTTACAGGGTTTGAGAAAGGTTTACGTGTATTGTAAATATATATTGCAAAAACTTTTATTAGAGCGTCAAGAATAATTTTGTGTTACCGGGAAATCTAAGAAATGTAGGTACTTATGCAACTAAAAACTTATTTTTTAATTATTATTATGTGACTAGTATTGTACTGA